ACGCCTCTCCTAGGTCGTTGAAGGTATGAATATTAGCACTATCCAAGCTCATGTACCACTTTAGTGCAGCACCAGTCAGGCTATCTTGAAAGAAGTGGATCGACAAACGTTGACCGTTAGTGTGAGTGGACATCCTTCTCACATGCATTATCAGATGAGCACGGGGGCAAGTATTGCCCTTATATTTCTCGAACTCTGGTACTTTGAATTTTTCAGGTACTTTTACATTTGGAACTAGGCATAGATCGCTCACGTTCTGTCCGAACAGTTCTTTTCCCTGGAGGGCTTTCATTTCCTTTCGCATCTCATTAAACAGATCTTGGAAATCATCCATTCTGTCATAGAATCCAATTCCTTCGCTTGGCGGCGGAGTAGGATGGTGAACCACATCATTAACAACAGGGATAACATTCATTACTGGAGGCACGACATGACAGATCTCATTGCTGATAGCAGGAGCAACGTGTACCACGGAAGGGGCAGAAGCCATAACTTGTTGAGAATATTGAGCAATTTGAGGAGTAGGGTTATATCCTTCTGGCGTGTAACTTTCTGGCATTCCCCATGGATATCCAAGAGGCATGCAATGTTGAGCAGCAGTAGTATTTGGAGCAACTGAGATGGGAGCTGTCGTAATTTCAGAGACAACTGTTGCTTGTTGTAGTTGTGTAGCCTGAGGAGGTGGAGGTGGTGGTGGCTGATTCTGAGCAGCCACCAATGACTCTACCAAAGCAGTCAAGTTCGCCATTCCGGTTCTCAAAGCGGTGACCTCTTCGCACAGTTCGCGATTCTCCCGTTCGAAATTTTCCATCTGCCTCTTGAAAGTGCTTCGAGTATTATAACGATGAAAATATGCGGTAGCAATATCTGTAAACAAACCCGAATCAAAGATAAGAAAACCTGTCGTGACCCACCTGTCATGATATGGTATGCATGGATGAATAGTTATGCATGAAGTGTCTTATCATTTCCAGGAGAATCCTTTGCCTTTTTTTGTGTTTTTTTTATAAAATAAATATGCCATGATGCAAGTGCAATAATCATAAGGTCGAAGTTTCTGCAATGTTGGATAGTTGCTAAACTGATAACAGAACCACTGTCATATGTAATAATATCAAAGGTCTGGACCAAATCAAAATACCAAGGATCAAAGTCACCAGTATAATCAGAGTCACCAACGGAACATGTATAGTCACCATCTGTATCTGTAAAGATCATTCCCTCCCTACTCACGGGTAAAGACTAGGTCATGGTAAGGTCAATGGTAACTCAGAATCGAGGGTACTCTTGAAAAACTATCGCCATATCACCTACGTGAAAACGATATCCCCTCATTTGTACCTCATCTGAGCATGGACGACATGGTGGCATAATGAAACCTAATTCAACTATTCGTTCATGTTCCACTCTATTTCTAGTGTTCCTGTAGTTTCCTCTTGGCCTGGGTATTGGGCCTTTTACCTCATAGTAATATCCCACCCATCAAGAAACAGAGAAACCAGTACAACAACAATATAACAAATAATAATAAAGATGCAATGCAAACATATGCTCAAACATATACAAATGAATAATCTATAACGGCATAATGATAAACATCCTAAGAAAAGAAAAAACGGGAGCTAGGAGTGACTCACGGGATGGACCAGCAATTGGTCGACATATTTCTGGACTCCCCAGTGAAGTCGCCATTTTTCTGTAGCAGTAAAATCAATGAAGTCGCCACCGAGTATTTATTCATCCCATATGAAAGGGAAAGGAAAATAATCGAAGAAAAACCTAAAGGGGAAATCAAGGTCTTGCGACCGAGAGATTGGGTAAGGGAGTCGATTACGCGAGGGGAAGGTATTAGCACCCCACACGTCCATAGTACTCTACGGGATCCACTCTCGTTGTTCTAATCAAAGGGCGTGTTCAATCTAATTCTTAAGGATTATAAACTAAGAGAGAATGAATGAAAATAAAGGAGAAAGAATGTAGGGAAAATAAAGTTGTACTTGCTTGGGCCCTACCCCAATGCATACGTATCCTTTTTGAGGAATCAGAGCTACCGTAGTTCGGCTCATATATTTTGTTTGTTTGTATTTTTTATGAATAATGTTAATTCCGCCTTCTGCCGCAGCTCGACCTTTGGAGACTTATGCATTGGCACAGAAGTAAACTAATCATGTCCTTACCTGAAAAGGGTTTTAGAAAAAAAGGGTGCTGGAGTGCACAAAATTGTTTGAATTGGTTTGTATTTTTGTCACCTTAAAAAATGGTTTAAGTATGATTAGCATGTTTTTTATTTGCTAAGGAAAGAAGTTTTTGTTTTGAATGCAAGGATGGAAAGAGGGGAAGAAAAGAGTCTAAGGGAGACTAGCTTATTTCTAACCTAGTGTTATCATACAATGGTGGTTCTACGTCAAGGATGAAAGGGGAAGTTTCTACCTAATATCAGCATGCATGGTTTGCAACCTAAGGTCTAACTTGCGTCCGAACGGAGCAAGCGCATCCTAAGGGAAAATGGTATATACAAGGATAAATCAAACAAGCCAATAAGATCAAGAGAGCACCTAAAGAGATCATGCCTAGGTTAGCATGCCAAAGAAAGTCTAACAAAATTATCCTATAGGGAACATGCAATGAGAGCGAAGTCGTGATCTCAATTTCTAAATTGAGTGACTCATCGATCAACAAGAAAGAAAGGAAAGCGATAAAATCCTATAGGGAGCATGCACTGAGAGCGAATTCATGGTCTCAATTGCTAAATTGAGTGACTCATCGATCAGCAAGAAAGTAAACAAACATAAGCACAACACATATAGCAAATGAAGTGCGGAATGCCTGCTACAGGTCTTTAAACAGCGACTTCGAGCGCACGCTATTTATTTCCTACTTCTCAGGATATCTAGAAAGCGATAACGAAATGTGATAACGTGCGGAGAAGTATAAGGGTAGTAGCGGAGGCTACCAAAGCAAGTAAGTCGTCAAAAGCAGACAAGAACACTGAAAAAAGCAGGGAGTACGCGTCGAGCAAGCTTCACCAAGAAACAAACAAAGTCAGAAAACAATATCCAATTAAGATAAAAGCAAATGCGTGTCGCGAATGCGGAGCATAATCGGAAATTCTGTTAAACCATTGATCATGCCAAGGGAATTGAATCGAGGATATGGGATCGATAAAAAAAACGCATTAAAACCCTAATTCTAAACATATGACAAACATTAGCTCGATTAATTCCTAAACTAATAATAATAAAAAAAATTATGGAGAAAAAAATATCACCAAGTCAGAAATTAACATGTTAATATCCAAACAAAATTTTAGTCAAAACTTGTAAAGGGAAATATCAGAATTAATTGCTTTACAAAACAAAAATTTAAAAGAAACTAAGAATTAGTTGTGAGGTGTAGTGAACTAGGAAATGGTGTAAATAGAGTGGGATGTTGAGCCTAATTTGCTGAGCCTTTTTGTTCATCTTTCTTCAGCCATGCCAAAAACAGGTATCAGGTTTTTCATACAATAATGGCCCAAAACCTCTCCTATCTGGATCCATCAATAAACTAAAGAGAATGGATTTGATACGCCGAGTTTTGCAAATCAGGTCTAGAATGTGACCGTCCCAATTCCTTGAACACAGACCCTTCTTTCCTCTCTTAATCTCAACGGCGCAGCTCTGATCCACCGCCGTTCTGATTCAATTTTCGATCGCCTCCGCAGATCTCTGTTGAGTCTGCACTTCCATCGTCCACTTATGATTCCTTATCTCCATTAACAAGATTTCTTTATCTCTATCACAACATTCGCCTTCATCTATCTCAGTCTCGTTTGCGCTTTAATACTTCGTGAATGGTTTGTTATCCGCCTCCTCTCTTTGGCCTCGATTCATACAAACAGAGATATGATATAAACAAAGAGAGTACTGAAGATTACCTGCCAGCAAATGTTCCAACGCGCCTTCAATCGACGGTGCTTAGAAGGAACCAGAAAAAGATCTTCAATGAAAATTTGGTACGAAATATTCTCCGTGAATCCTATTATTTCTTTGATTCTCTTTCACGTTTCTTCTAATTCCATTTTACTGCCTTTTGGTGTTTTGCATACACAATATTTGTTGTTGTTACTGATGCGTGTGATCTGGTTGGGATGTTGCAGAGAGAACTTTGAAGCTGGCGATGAAGAGAAGATGTTGAAATTGTTGCTGCAGTTCTGCGAATCTGTTGCAGGATTGCTATGCTTCCTTTTTCGATGGTGAAGATTGAGCAATGATTATGGAGTATTAGTTGATGCCGATGATTGAAGATGCACCTTGCTGAAGAATTGCAGGATCTTGAAGATGAAGGATTGAAAGTGGTTATGATGGTGAAGAGTTTATGTGAGGAAGATAAAGGTTAGGGGTGATGGAGATTCCATGAGTGTGCGTTCAGCGAGGGATAATGAGTGAAGTTGTTGGAAGGCGGTGGTAGAAGATGAGTGAAGAAAGATGGAGAAAATGGTTGAGAGAAGAGAGGTTGCAGAGAGGACTTATGAAGAGGGTCAAGAATGAATTCATGAAAAAAATGGTTAACCTGTTGATGAAGGTGTTTGATGTGGTTGTTGTAGAGAAGGGAGAAGGATGATTAGGTAGGGGAGAATGAGGTTAGAGCAGGAAAAGATGAAGATTCTTCTACAAAATTCCAACGTAAATCTCCTATTGGTAAGTCTTTTGTCTTAATCTCTTCTATAGAGTAAAAAAATCAATCTAAATCCCTCTCCTCCCTTTCTGTCATTGCTCTTAGAATTTGTTAGCAATTTTCTTGGAAGTTTGTTACAGTTGGTTATAGGTTGGTTTTTCTGTTATAGATTGACAGAGACATTGAAATTGACAGAAGTTGGTTATATCCTTCTGTTGCCAGTTAGTTAGCCGGTTCAAGGTAGTTGAAATTGTTATCTTTGTTAGAGAATTTTGTTATAGGTATGAAGTTGATGAGCTGGCAATTAAGAAAACTCTATTATTGTTAGTGCATATTCTGATTTAATGATTTTCTATTTTTTTTTCTCCTTTGCCAATTTTTGCTTTAACTCCTTCCCCTTTGAACTGGAATTTTCTTTCCCCTTTAATTTTGTTCCTCATTTTCTTTCATCAGCTGTTACTGAATCGGAGCTTGAGTTTAATTTTGAAATTCTTTTCTTCTCCCTCCATAGTCACATCCAGAAAATGCAAGCATATCCGGTTCAAATCTCAAATGCAATGTAATGTTTCTTTCTCATCCTCCTTTGCATGACCAATTTTCCAACCATTTCTTGTATTGGATCAGTAAATCTTAAAGCTTGGTAATTAACTATGCATTTCAAATTCTGACACTCAGTATCCAAACTGTTTGCAAGCCTGTAGTCAAACTTGTTGAGTTGAACAACACGCTTTTTTCACGAGTACGAGCAGTATACGATTTATATAACATCTCTCCTTACATTTCCTTGGAACACGCATGTTATATATAGATAATGCTTTCCTACCCTTATTAATACTTGGGAGTTTCTTGATAATTTAGGCAGGTAAACCAATTAACATTAAAGATCTTTGAAAATTTCTTAGAGTCTTTCCAGCAAGATCGTTGATCCAATTTTGGAACAACCAAAGTAGCATTCAAAATTCGCGCAACAACACAGCATCTGTAATCCCAGTTCTTTGTTGATTCAAGCCTCCGCTAGTTGCAATCGACAAATACTGATTAGGCCTTGCAGTGACTTGAGCTTTTTAAAACTTGTTGCTGCCATTGTTGTAGCCATGTAAGTGCCCCGAATTTCTTGAGAATTTCTTCTTTTTAGTAATATTTCTGTTATTTTCAGCAGCGGCCCGTTCGTACAACTTAATTAATTTGCTTTTGTTCTCAAGCATGGCTCTAAGCTTCACCCTTAGCTCTACTGCTTTCCTTTTTATATCTTCTGATGTTCTAATGCAGGGCTATTCCTTTGTACAGCAGGTGCTGGTGTCCAACACATTAAAGAAATATGAAGTTACAATGAAGCATGGTCATTTGGAATGTGAATCCATTTTAGAATAGGTTCAGAACAATAGGATTCTCGTATGTAATCTTTATTTGTGCAATGTGCATAATGCCCTGAATGTATCTTGGAGAATGCGTCTTGAAATCTCTGTATGGACTTTGTATACTTGAATGAAATTTGATTGGACAACCATCTTGAATCACTTTTGAGTTTTGGACGATGAATTATGAGTAGTGTTTGATTAATAATGAACTTGAATGGTGATACTATAAACTTGAACTTTGCTTAACTAAGGCGATGTAAGGCAACAACTCTTTTCCTTTAAATGAATTTGCACTTTCAAGTCCTTACTATCAATAAGATCAAGAATCAACATTAGGCTTAAGAATGATTTTGGTCCAAAACCTCTCAGAAGTAATCCAACTCAATTAATGTCGAACTCCATGCCCAAACTCCTCTTTTGAATGAGGTCCTTCAAAAGAAAACTTAGCATCCTAAGTAAAAAGATATCAACCTTAATGAACAAAACCTGCTTAACTCTCAAACCCTGGTGATATCAAGTATATCGTATGACTAAACAAACTTGTAGAGAAGTAAGACCTCACAAAAGAAACTCCATGGCCATCACATTAATGAGGAAATAAACCCTAATTCACATTATGCTTGCAAACTTGTATAAGAAACATCTCAATCCATAATTCACAAGAATTCCACGTTTATCTTAAATGAATCCTTAATGTAACTCAAGCGTTCATGACAAGTCGAACTTAGTTGACTTCAAATGGCGTGCTTGGCCAATGAACCTTAATCTCAGTTGAATCCATAAATTCTAGTCATCTTGCATTTGAAACAAACATCTTTTATTTGATACAATAAGCTAAATAAGCTCCTGACCCTATCTTGAATCAACCGTTAACAAAGTCGTGAACTTAATAAGCCCTTGAATCAATATTAACTCTGAGCACAATTAGAAGTTTCAAAGAACCCAGATCACTAGTCATTTCTCTCAATAGTCTAAGTTATCTTGCGATTGAAGTAACAAATATTTGATGAGAACCAAAAACCGTATCGTTCAAAACAAGTCCACAATGTTAAATAAGGAGAAACCCAAGATAACCACAAGATCGAGCCCTAATCCAATGATCCCCAGTTGAAGCATAACAGAAGAAAACCCTAATTCTTAATCATTGAAGAAAGATCACAACCCCATGTTGAGGAGAGAGAATATCCCTGTAGTTTGATGATAAAGAAGTCCCGAAAAAAATCCTAATTCGAACAGATGATTGATGGAGAAATCAACCAAAACAAGCTTGTGCGAAGATAAGAGCCTTAAATCCATTCAACAAACCTAATTCCTCGAAATCCCTGATCTCAAGCCAAAATATTGATTAATGATGCATGATGCGTCAGATGACCTAATGAAGGTTATGTACCTGAATCTCAATTAAATCCACAGATTCTAGTCACTTTTCATTTGAAGCGACCAACCACCATTCAAAGAGAGAAACCCTAATGCCAAAGCTCTTCGATCTTATAACCATGAGACCAATGATATGTGCAAAATGTACGAAGTATAATGAGGGATCTTAGGGGCAAAAATTGGGGTACAACAACTGCCCTTATTTAAGTGTCTTCTATCCGGAGATACGAAGATTAAAATCTTCGTTTCAAATTGATTGAAGATACTTAAATATAAAACAAGCCCTATTTTTGGCCCTAAGATACCATGCGATGCTTATGATTATGGATGCAGATAGACAAATCTAAAGACGCAAGACACCAGTGGGGATGTAGCAAAGGAAACAGAAATCGAAAAGAAACCCAACCAGGAAAATAATTCACTGGTGAGCAAAAAAAAAGACTCTATTGGGGTAAAACCCAAAGAAGAGATAAGGTAGCATCAACTCAATAAATGAGGAAAAAGGCAATGGGTAACAATGATTGACAGATAACTGTGAACTACCAACTCAATAGTCGAAGGTAGAAACATAATAAGATATCGGCTTACAGATGACGGTAAACTACCAACTCAATAGTTGAAGGTAGAAGATAAAAAAGAAACTAACTCACAGATGATGGTAAACTACCAACTCAATAGTCGAAGGTAGAAGATCAAGATACCGACTCATAGATGACGGCAAACTACCAACTCAACAGTTGGAGGTAGAAGCATAATAAGATACCGGCTCACAGATGACAGTAAACTACCAACTCAATAGTTGAAAGTAGAAGATAAAGAGATATCGACTCACGAATGACGGTGAACTACCAACTCAATAGTCGAAGGTAGAAGATCAAAAAGATATTGAATCACAGATGACGGTAAACTACCAACTCAATAGTTGAAGGTAGAAGATAAAGAAAAAGATACTGACTCACAGATGACGGTAAACTACTAACTCAATAGTCGAAAGTAGAAGATCAAAAAGAAACTGTTGTACCCCAAAATTTTCCCTCCCTTTTTCAGAAGAAATCACAACTTCAGGGTTTTCTCTGATTTTTCAGACCGGCTCGAGAATCGGTCAAACAGACTCTTCTTTAACAGTAAATCCAGAATTAGGGTTTCCACTGATTTTGTTGAGATTGGCTCAGGAATTGATCAGACAAATCTTTCTTTGGCAGTAATCCAGGATTAGGGCTTGCGCTCGCATTTCTCGGAAGAAACTGAATCCTCAGAAATTCAATTGACTGTTACATTATTTTTACGCTTGTTCAAGATTACTGGTTGTTTCTCAAAACCTAAATATCTGGGATAGGAGCTGAGGTTTTTGTTTGAAACTTTGAGGCATTGGTTTGATCAGTAGAGTGAAAGGTGTATGGAATGCTTGTTTGTTTAAACTGAACAAAGCATATGTTAATTGGAATGCCAGGCGTATGGTGATTAATGCAAGGTTGCGAGACGGCAAAGTTTGTTGATTATTTATTCTGGATTAAAGTTATTGGGATACATTTCCAGTTATTTTAATTTAAGAGTCTTAAATAATTAAATAGACAATACAAGGAAAGAATGGAATATTTGACAATAGAAAATTCTTATTTGACAAAGACTTTTTTTAATTTATTTATTTTATTTCAAATGTTGTTACAAATTTTATTCGAATATTGTAAATTTACAATTTACAGTGTTTACAATAATATTTATTACAATAAATGAAAAGAAAATAAAATAAATCTAAAGCCTAAATCTCTTGAAATCTTTGACCTTTACTGCGTCCTCCATTATTCAACATGTACTTACCTGCAAAGGACAGAAGAAAAAGGAAATCAATGCAATTAACTGAAAAGTATTTCTAAGCAGATAAATAAAAAAATCATCATTAAAGTCTGCTGGTCGGAATCAGAAATGCTATGTTCATCATGTTTCATTTTCCTCTCTGCAAATCACGAGAAGATTTCTCTTCTCGGTTCACAGAGAGAAAAATAAAATATATAAAATTGCAAGCATACAATTAATTCAAAATGCAAAGATATAAGGCAGCAAGGCAAAGCAAACTGAACTCCAAACTGCATTAGTCAACCAAGTCAGCATGAGCAAGCATGGCAAGCTAACTACAAATGCAAACTGAATGTCAAACTAAGTTGCAAAGCTGTCAAAGCAGAAAAGCTGTCAAAGAAAGCATACAAGCAACCAAGTATACAAAGTTGTCCAAGAAAGTGCAATGCAGGAAATATGGAAAAGAGTACACAATGCAGGAGATGAACCAAGTTACAAGCAAGAGCTTGTCCTAGCCCTCATCATGTTCTGGCCAGCAGCTTTTCAGAATAATATAATAAGCAATTAAAAGTGCTTTTGAGGGAGAGAGAAAGAGAGTGAAGTGAGAGTTTGCAGTTTTGGCAGGCTGTAAAAGGCAGTAAGGGGAACAAAAGAAAGAATATAACAGTCTAACAGTCCAGCACAAGGAGGATATAGAGCAAAATTGCATAAACCTCCAAACTGCAGAAAACAAAAAATCTGCAAAACACCCTGCATTACAAAACGCAACAAACTGCAGTAACAAGGCAAGCCGGTTGAACAGCAAGCCTGCCTCCAACAAACCTGTAAAACTAAAACACTCAGTTCAAAACTGCCTCCAAAACTAAAGACCTATTCAAACAGCATAGCCTGCCTTCCAAAAGCGAGCAGAAAGCCTGCCTTACAAACACTAAAACCTGCAAAGACACAAGTCTGTCAAGCAAGCCCAAAACCTGCTAAAACTGCAACTCAGTTACAAGCCTGCCTCCAAAGAGCTGCAAGTTACGAGCCTGCCTTAAAAAACTGCAAGTTACAGACCTACCTGCATAACCTGCAAAACTGCTTCTCAAGCAAACAAAACAAACCTGTTTTACCATACTCAAGCAATCAACAAGCCAGCTCAAAAACAAAAACTTACTCAAGCTCAACAAACTGCTTCCAAAACACCAAAACTGCAATAAGCCTGCTTGCTCATACAAAATCTAACAACAACAATAGCTAGTTTTTCTTTTTCAGAATATACCTTCATCATCAAAAGTCAACACCCAAAGAAGAGGAAGAGGTCCAGAAGTGAAAAATCAAAACAAGAACAGGTCTCAGAGCATTTGTTCATCATCAACTCAAAAAGC